TTTAATCCCAGTATTAACCATAGAGGTCTGGAGGTCTGTACAGACAGACAGGAAGTGACGCAGCTGAGCAGGAAGAGGAAGCGATGTAGCTGGAGAGAGAGAGCAAATGATAGAGCAGAACAGAAAGGCATATAGGCATGGGTATACAGGAAGTAGGTATCTTTGGAAACTGAGGTGTCAATGGGTGAGGTTAGCTTGTGGCTTCTATTCCTCTGATCTCTCAGGTTTTCACCCCTAAAAAAAAGATACAGAAATGATAGAATAAAGGGTACATTATTGAATCTACTCTGAAAAGAAAAAGGAGAGGATATAGGTATGATATAGATAAAAAGGTAGATTATTGAATCTACTTTTAAAAGTCAACTAGTAGTTTTAAATATTTTACATTGCATTGGATTTTTGTATATTGTATACAAATTATGTATATTGCTACAAATTTGAGATTGATTTATATAGATATGATAAGATGAAAAGGTAGATTATTGAATCTACTTTTAGAAAGCAGCTACTAGTTTTAAGTATTTTACATTGGATTGGATTTTTATATATTGTATATAAATTATGTATATTGATACAAATTTGAGATTGATTTTGTTAAAAAATACTGTATGGGTATTTATAATCTTGTTCAAGATATTGTACCTATACAGTTCATTTAACAATGTAATGCAATTTGCTAATCCTTGAAAGTTATGATTATCAACTATTAGGATATAGAGAAATGAAAGTTAGTAGTTAGACATTACAATCGATCTTGTAGTCATATTAGGTATGTTTTCAAGGTCAAACAGAGATATATTTTAGATAGATAGGTCATCTTCAAACCCTTCAGAGATCTTCAGAATATGGCATTTAAGATATTTTAATAACGATTTTTTCTTTTTTTTATGACTATGAGACATGTCTGCTCCTGGCAGCACCAATCTACTCCAGAGAAAATATGGGCATTGAAGAACCTCCACATGGAGTTTACTTTCACTGTGGCAAAAGTTAACCACTGGACAAGAAAGTGCCCTTGCATTGACTGCTGACAGTATGCTGTCCAAAATGAACAAACAGGACACAAAACAAAGGACTACCAATCCTTGCAAAGACAAGTGTGGTTGCAGCTTTGGTAATAGGCATCCTCTGAGGCCAGGGCAATATGGCACTATTGCTGAAGTGGCTATGCAATCCGGAAAAGGTACAGTGCCCCTTCCTTCAAAGGCAGTGAGCAGGCAGTAGACCAAAGGCTCCTGGTGTGCAGTGGAACAGTAGCTGGAGCAGTTATTCTTGGAAGAGTAACTATGCTGATGGAGTCTGGCTTCTCAATGGTAGACTGGCATTTAATAAAGGAGAATAAAGATGAAGCCACCTACAAGCTGAGAAGAATGGGAAGCTGAATTCCAAAAATACCAGCAATTTCCGGAATTTAAAATCCTGAATCATGACAGGACACTGGAGGAATTCAGGTTTATCTGGGACATGGAATACTCGCACCAAAAGTGGGGTCAAGCCTTGCATACATCCTGCTTCACAAATGAGTCTGTCAGATATGCTAAGACTGTAGGCCGAAGATGATGCCCCAACATTGCAGAGAAACCTCAGGTGACTGTCCAGGCAGCTGGCTGTTTCTGTCATAACTCACATATTTTGGAAGTTGCTTGTTTGCACTTCCTGTTTTACTAGGTAATATTATTTCCCTCTCAGGTCTCTGAGGGAGTTGAAGATTAGATGGTTATAGTTTTCCTTGTTAAGAAATTCAGAAAAGAAACTCACTAAGAGGTGTTAAGTGTATAAATTTGAAAGATACCAAAAGATAGTTTTCTGTTGGTAATACAAGATAGGATAGGAAGAGAATTAGGTACATTTTGGACTCATCAAAATAGGATAGATAATGGAATATTTTCTCTGAATTTGTCAAATGCAAATGGACTAGACATTGTTGATGTATTTATTGCTTGTATATATTATATATAGTTATTGTACTTATTGTATATAGTTTTTCTTATATTAGTTATAACTTTATTATTATTTTTATTAGATAAAAAGGGGAAATGTGGTGATGTACTGTGTCCCCCAATATACTGTGTCCCCCAATAAAATTTATACAGGAAGTAGGTATCTTTGGAGACTGAGGTGTCAGTGAGGTGAGGTTAGCTTGTGGCTTCTCCTATTCCTCTGATCTCTCACATTTCAACCCCGATATCTGGCTCTCGGTTTTTATTAAATAAGACCATTTAGCAATTCGTCTACAAACAATTATCTGTAACTTCAGTTCCAGAGGATCTGATACCCTCCTCCAACCTTTGTGGGCACTGCACACATGTGGTATAGAGACATAAATGCAAGCAAAAATGCAGGCAAAAACTCATACACATAAAATGAAAATTTAAAATCTTTTTCAAAAAAGACTCCATTTTCCCAGTTGCAGTACTTCTTACGTAACTTGTCTCATCCATAGTAAGGCAAGCAAGGCATAGCTTGTGACTTATTTGAAGAATGATGTGGACAAGGCAAGGAACAATTGAGGCACAGAAAATGATGGGATTCATAGACTTGACCTATTAGACTGTGAAGTTAATGCTCAGCAGAATGGGATCTGTGGCTAGGAGTATAATTATCCTATGTCTTTAGAGGCACTATATAGGAAATTAGCTGAATGAATACATTCTGCTGTAACAGCACAGTGGTAGATGGTGAGAAAGGTGGTGAGGTCTTATTCTGAAGTGAGGAGAGTGAACTATTTAAAGGTTGTTTATGGGGTAAGTAAAATGACAATAAATGGGTTAGTAAACAGAATCCTTAATAGAACATTAAAACCCAATGGAAACTACCAATATTTTCACCCAGCTTCCACACAACTCCACTTGCAGCTTTGCCTGTGATAGCAGAATTCCTCAGAGACTAATGCAAAGCCCTGGTTTTACATCTAAGTTCTGTCTTTTCTCACCCCTCTCACCCCCATCACACTATCCCCTCCCTCCCATTGTCATTGTCATCACCATCATCGTCACTTTCTCAACAATGGATTATTACCCCCTATCTTCCCAGGATATTCTACCATCTTCCATCTTTAAAACAATAACAAAATGATAACTACATCACCATATAGCCACCAGCTGCAAGAATAGCTCAGACTCCCACAGTGTGGAGCTGGAGACATGGCTTAGCAGTTAAAAGCATTTGTTGCTCTTACAGAGGACCTGTATTCAGTTTCCAGCACCCACAATGGTGGCTCACAATAATCTATAACTCCAGTCCCGGGTGATCCAACACCCATTTCTGACCTCTGTGGGCACCAGGCATAGACATACATGAAGGCAAAGCACTCACACACAACAAGACAATTCTTTTTTTAAAAAAACGTGTGTGTCGCTGTATCATTTATTTGTCTACTCCCTCAGTGATCTGGAATCAACACATTTGATGCGCATGATTCTGTCTGTAGGGCCTAATTCTGTCTGGCAATTGGCTACACAGTGACCTCTCAGCACAACCCTGTCTCAGTTCACATGGGCAAATCTCCAGTCCATGAGGGTCAGGTGGGTAATTGGGAAGCATTGTCTTGACTGGATAGCAGAGCAATAAGGGATCTTGTTGAACCTGACTCAACAATGCCTGTCAAAGGAAAATTGAGGATGGAGACAGCTCTGGAGGGGGGCGATCTCTGCAGAACAGGTTAGAGGTAAACTAGACAGAACCAGCTGAAATCAAGTAGCAAGGCTGGCCCCAAGAAGATAACAGAGAGCAATGAGTGCTGTTCACACTCTCATGCTGGACATTAGACCCACCCCTAGAGGCACACACCAGCCCAGACTGCTGCCAACATCTTTTGCAGAGGTGCCTCTAATGCCTATCTCCTGATAGGCTTGCAACTCAAGAATGTGGAGACACCTGAGACTGGTTCTGTTTACATGTGTCTAGCTGCAATGGAGGCTGGAACACCAAATAGTTACCTCTGTCCTTTTAGAATGATGTGGGAGGAAATACCCATACAGGAGAGGCTCCTGATGCTAGGGGAGGGGTCAGACAGAATTCTACTGAGATTAAAAATGCAGCTGCCGCTGGGAAATCTCTCTTTAACATCTCCTTCAGAATACTGAGCAAAGTGAGTGAGGTCTGTCAAGGAAGAGGCATCATTACCCAGAAATCACTAGGCAACAGCTACCAGAAGCAGAGTCACACTGTGTTGGGAAACTACCTATAGTTTTGTGACCTCAAAATGACACATGCCAAAGTTTCACCATCTTTTGATAATTCTAAAGGGTCCTAATGTAGATAGGTTAGAAGATGCTACATGGCAGAATTGTCTGTGATGTGCTGAGAAAGTATTTGTTGCTTTTCTATATACATACTAGAGTGGCTTGTACCCCTAGTGCATGCTGCAACATTTTTGCAAAGAACAAAAGAGAAAACATGTGTATCTGTGTGTGTACATGTTGTATGCATACAGATAGATATTTAGATTTCTTTTTCCAGAGAGACAAATGGCTAGATTTTTTTCCTCTTTTTTTTTGTTTGTTTTGTTGGTTGGTTGGTTGTTTTGGTTTGGTTTTGGGTTTTGTGATGAAGACTTAGTAGCCCAGGGCTGGCCTTAAACTCCCTAGGTAGTTCAGGATGTCTGTGAACTCAAGCCAATACTCCTGTCTCAACTTTTGTAGTGTTACATACATGAATTACTGTGCCCAGCTACATGTATTACCTTAACTGAGGGAAAGGTGGGCACACAGCAATGATCATAGCTCCAGGGAGTCCTTAGGCTATGTTACTGCTTGACACAGCATAGGAGGGACAGCTATATGGAAGATATGATGCACTCCCATCCTACTGGGACTAGAGAAAGACCTGCTTCATACCTCCCAGTGATCCACTCCCAGTCTGTTCTGTTGGCCTTATCTGTGTCCCACACCACTCAAACCTTCCAGAAGACCACTGACTAGAGGTTGTTTGGATAGAATCCACGTCAAAATGGATTTAGTCACAAAGACTTTATTTAACTATTTTCTCAAGGACTTGGATCTCACACTTAGCATTACAGCTGGCTTCAGAAAAAGTCCAAATGGTTATTAAGAGTCAAGAGGTGACACTGAATGTTCTGGAAGGAATTTTCATTTCCAAGTTCTGGTGTGTTGCTTGTCCTAGCGTAAAGCGCGTCTTCAGGGAACTCCATTGTGGTGACCAGAATAGGATTTGGAGGATGCTACATTGTGGCAGCACTGTGAAAGGAAGGAAGGCAGGAATACAATCCAAAACGATGAGACACAGAGCCTGAAAAGTAGGGGTGTCTGACCCCTACCCCATGCCCTCAGAGGTCCCCCTGAGCTTGGGAAATGGAGTCAACTTCCTTTATGTTGCAGGTCCCAGTTGCAGTATGGATTTCAACAGTGCTGGCATCAGAACCTGGAGAAGAAAAGAAGCAGGCTGTGTTGGAGCTGAGGTCCCAGAGGGCTTTGTCTTGTTTTATTGGCACAGGGTCACAAGTAGACTCAAACTTGATACATAGTCAAGAATGACCTTGAACTTCCAATCCCCCTGCTTCCCCTTCCAAAGTGCTAGAATAACAGACATGTACCATCATATTAATTTTATACAGTGCTGGGGACTGAACCCAGGGCCTTATGCTAGCTAGTCAAGCAGTCTACTAACTGAGCAGTGTTGCCAGCCCCTAGAAAGCCTTCCATCAACTTCAGAAAATGTTTGTAGTACTCAACAACGAAATGAGATTTTTGTCTTTCTTTTTCTTTAAAGAAGAAAGGAACGGAGGGAGGGAGGGAGGGAGGGAGGGAGAGAGAGAGATTGAGAATCTTAGTCAAACCTTAGCATCTAAAGTCTAAGGCCAGGTGTAGCTTTAATCCCAGCACTTGGGAGGCAGAGGTAAGTAGATCTCTGAGTTCAAGGTCAGCCTGGTCTACATAGCAAGCTCCAGGACAGCCAGGGCTACACAAAGAAACTCTGTCTCAAAAAAAATAATTACTATGTATATCGCCTCTGTGTGTGTGTGTGTGTATAAAAAGGAGGGGGAAAACCCTCTGTATCATCCCTTACTACATTTAATTCATTCATTCAGAGAAAAAAATGGAATAAACTTTAAAGAATCATTTCAGGCAGCTGACACATGGTTCCTGAGGAAATGTGACAGTTGAATTAAGGTGGCCCTAGAGCCCTGGATGCATCCTCTGGGAAGTATAAACAAAGGACAGAGTCCATTCACAGGAAGCTGTGACATAGACAGTAGGTCCTCCTGCCTGGCTACCTGCACTCAGCTCCAGGAAGCCCCAGAGGGAAGGAATCTACGCCCTCTGTAAAACTCCCTCTTGTCCTCACATACAGTGCCACCAGTCTTAAGGTTGCAGTTCCTGTCCTTCAGCACCTGGAAGTACCCAAAACAGCCTCTCCAACCTTCAAAGGTTGTAATTTAAACGCATATCAAGACCCAACATAAAACAGCACATGCCTGATAATGCTTTGCCAAGCCAGTTTCCTTGTTGTGGTCATAAACTGGGGCCGTAGATGCAATGACTAAGTGACAAATGATGTTTCTCATATGGCATAGTGCACACATCCAAATAAGCTCTAAGTTATTTGGTGTTCATTTCTTGCGAAGCTGAAGGTGACCTTTCTCACTGGCCTTCATGTCTGGGACCTGTGAGAGCACACGCATGAGTGCACATGAGAGCAAGCTAGCTGTATTTTGTTTCTAAGAGCTATTGCTAGATTTTCTTCAGAATAATGAATTTTGTAGCTGTTCACATTCTCTCTACAGTTTCCAGCTAAGAAGCTCAAAGGCAAACAAGTAGCCTAAGTAGCCTCACGTGGTTCATTTCCCCGGGCTTTCCTTGGATCTCAGCATTGTTCTCTGGTATGTTCTATTTTCTTACTAATCAGTTTTTCCTTTGTTTTAGAATATGACATGTCTTACAGAAAGCAGTCCCAACACAGTAAAAATGGTGGGGAAGTGAGCTCAATAAGCAAGATAAAATAAAACGTTCTCATCAAGGGTCACCCTGCAGGTCTACTTAATCACTTGACTAGCACTCCTTCCTTCCGGATAGCAAAATCCTTTGGAACAAACAGCAGACTTATTCTTTTGCTCCCAAAATACCCAGGAGCACTGGCTATGAGCCAGGATATAAACTGGGCATGGAGAATTCAAAGACGGAAGTCAGGAAGCAAGGAAGCCTTTCCCAGTATGCACAGGGCAAGTGACTGCCTTCCAGTCTCTAAGCCTTACCAATGGACTTGGCTTACTTTTGCAGCCTCAGCTGTCACTTCTATCAAACTCAGGCATACTGATCTACCTACCCTTCCCCTCCTCCTAAAGACATGGTCCTACAAAGGGCCTTTCCACAGCTCTTTGTCTGCCTGCAAAGCATCTCTCAGTTTTCTCATGACTCTGCCTTGTATTTTATTTCAGGTCTCAATTCAAATGTTACCTCATCCATAGGTAACTTCTGGGTTACCTGATCAAAAACCAGTCCTCCACCCCTCTCCCTGACTAGTGGCTCCTATTCTTAACAAATTACGTATTGAACTCAGAGCCTTGCATGTGTTAAGCAAGCTCTTTGCATCTGAGTTCTATCTCCTGCACCCTGATCAGTTCTGGTTCCTAGTATTTCTCACTACTTGGATATCATATAACATAATTACTGTGGACTTTCTGTAGTTTTTTTCTTTCTTCTACTAGAATAGAGTACTCAGTAAACATAGTGAGTGGATACAGTTGGGTCAATGCCTCAACAGTAGTGAGATGAGCCCTTGGAAGCTGGAGCAGTATTAAGACTGATGACCTAAGGAGGGCAGAAAGAATAACAATTTGGACAGAGGCAAGCACCATATTGCAGGATTACTCTAACGCACATGAGTCACTCACTGTGGCCTGTTAGGGAAACAGCAGCCAGACCTTCCCCAGGGGCAGATACAGATGAATCTGAGAGGAGTGATGAAGACAGAGCAAATGTGATCCCCTCAGAGAATCTAGAGAAGGGAACAAAGGAATGTTTGGCCACGGACCTTACAGCCAGGCCCTGATTTGAGTGTGGGTGCCATCATGAGTAATGGAGGAAAACCATCTGGCTACAGTGGCCCGGCACCAGCTGGGAAGGCTTTTAAGAGCTTCCAGAATAGCACTGCTGCAGGAGGGGCTGGCTGAAGGCACTTGAAAAAGATTTGATTCTCACAGGGTCACCCTGGTTATGAACTCATCTTGGGTGCATGAGAACTCATGTGGGATTTTTGTGGTTTTGTTCAAAAAGACCCAGCTGGGTATCATAAGGTGGCTTGTGATCAAGGTCTTTGCTGAGGATACTCCCACATGACTTCACACTTGAGGACAAACTCCAAGTCCCATGGCTTTAGAGAGTGTCCGGTCTTTCATTTCCTTCCCCCATCTCTATACAGAACAGTGATGCATAAGAACTCTCTCAAAGCCAAAGCTGCAGGAATAAAGCCACCTGAACCTAGCTCCATCTGTCCTAAGTCAGATAAGGGTTTGAGCTGTGAACTCTAACAAGCCTGGGTAACCTTGGGTTTTCTTCTCTGTCTTACAGGTCTCCATGAAGAGAAGGAATTGATAGATCTAGACTCTGGAGATGGCTGGAGAGATGGCTCAGAGGTTAAGAGCACTGACTGCTCTTCCAAAGGTCCTGAGTTCAATTCCCAGCAACCACATGGTGGCTCACAACCATCTATAATGAGATCTGGTGCCCTCTTCTGTACATATAATAAACAAATAAATCTTTGGTTGTTTGACTCAAACTGTTTGGGGGGCACCCAGGCAGGGGGATCAGGATCTGTCCCTGGTCTATGGGCAGGCTTCTGGAATCTGGTGCCTGTGGTGTGACACCTTGCACAGCCTTGGTGCAGTGGGAACGGGCTTGGACCTGCCTAGGCTCAGTGTGCTGGGCTCTGCTGACTCCCCATGGGAGACCTCAATTTGGGGGATGTGAGGATGCGGGGTGGCATGGGAAAGAGGGCTTGGGGTGGGAGGAGGGGGAGTCTGTGGATAGCATGTGGAGTGAGTAGAAAAATTCTTAATAAAGAAAAAAAGACTCTGGAGACAGTTCAGCATGGCTGCTACGGTACTGACTAGTTCTCCATTCATAGTCTGCCGACATCAGGTTACCATGACTTCAAGATATCAAACAACTAAACCCCAGAAATGGTGTTCTGCATCATCACAGGCCTGGAGCAATAGGACCAAGCAATGGTAGACATGGTTCTTTTTATAATGTAATAATATTTCATTAGATAAATATACATCCTTTACCAGAAACTTCTAAAACTAGACCAAATTAAACCTTTCCTCTTAAGAGTTGTTCTCAGAATTTTTGTTACTACACAGAGAAATAATTAAAACATTGCTAGACCATACAGGACAATATCAACCAAAAAGATGTGGAAATCTTTTAAAATGCACAATAGTATGCTAAGAAGCAAAACACTTAGGTGATTTACTTTCTGCATACCAGCCCTTTTTGTTCCTTGCAGAACATGTGTGCAAATTCCTCCACAGAGTCACCATACAAAATGGTGGTCACTTTATCTTAGGATTTTAATTTTGCTATTTTCAGGGTAAGGAAGTGTCAACTCCACTTCATACTTTTACAGGAAATGTTTTTGGTTAATTTTTCCAACTTACTTTGTGCCTGAAGAATGCCTCAAAAAGTTTATCTCACCCAGCAGATAAGCAAACAATACATTACTGTGGGCTCTAAACTGACAGCTGCCTTTTATTCCTTTTCTTTTAATTAATTAATTAATTGAACAGATTCTATTGTCATTGTTTTCCTTTGTATATTTATAGTGCTGGGGGTGGAACCCAGGGCCTTGTACATGCTAGGCAAGTGCTCTATTACTTAGCTACACCTTCATCCTGATAACTGTTATTTTTACAGAAATTCTTTTGCTTTCATTTGCTTTCCTTTTCCTCCAATTTTTTTCTCAAATCAATATTTTCAATGATTGCTCCATTAATTCAGTAGAATAATAATTTTAACTACTTTGAATTTGTCCAGTAAACTATGAGGGCAGTGTTTATGGTCACTGCTGCAAACCCATGACATGACACTGTTCCTAATACATGGCCTGGTGGAGTTCTTTACAGTCAACAGTAGTTGATTTAAAAAAATTATAAAATGAGTATATCTATACTATGAAATATTACTGATCTAAAAAAGAATTGTGTACTGATGTTTGCTACTGGATGAACTTTCAAGATTTTAGGCTAAGAAGTCAGACAGAAAAGTGCAAATATTGTATAATGGGACTTATAGGAAATGTGCAGAACATTCATATATGTAGAAAAATTAGTGACTGCCAGGAATGAAGAGGGCTGAAGATGTAGCTCAGTTGGTAAAGTGCTTGGCTAGCATGCAGATAGCCCCAGATTCAATCCCAGCACCATGTAAACTGAGCATGGTGGTACACTCTCCTAATCCCAGCACTCACACGGTAGAGGCAGAACAATCAGGAAAAGTCAGCATCAGCTGCAGAGTGAGCTTGATGTCAATTTGTGATACATGAGACCCAGGCTCAAAAAAAAAAGAATGGGAAATGTAGCCTCCAAGTGATAAGAATATTCTGAATTTAGATAGTGGGAACATCTACACAGTTTCATGAATATAGCAAAATGCACTAAACCGTTTAAAAGATAAATTCTATGGTATTTGGGCTGTATATCACAATGGACTGTCTTTTTTTCGGGACTGTAGAGGGGTTCCAGTCTTCCTTACTATGCCAGAACCTCTTCCTTTGCTTTGAAAGAAATTGAGACAGGACTTAGGGTGTGGTTCTGTGGTGTAGCAATAATCTGCCATTGGTAACGCACCGGGTTCCATTCGAAGCACTATAAAAAGAGGAAAAAAGATCAGCAAAGAAGGGATCCTTAAGACAGCAGCCATTATGAACAATGGCCCTGTTTATTTTCCTGTTGGACCTTTGTTCATTTTTAAAGACTCTGAAAGCTTTCAGCCTATGAGCAACAGTCCTAGGCAACAGCTAGCTGGAAGGAATAGAAACAAGAAGGGCCTTGTTAATTCTGTTCGAGATGGGAGAGGTAGGGTGCAGGGACCAGATGCAGTGGGATTTATTGTTAATGTAGGATTTTATTATAGTGTCAAAAATCGCTCAGTTGTTTTGAGCCATCAGGATGGGAATTCAAACACACACAACTAATACTAGGTGGAACTTTTTGCCTCCTGCCCCAGGTTCTATCAGTAACTTGGCATGCTGACAGCAGTCTGAACTTGTATGTCCCTGTCCTTCATGAACTACTGGGGCTATATCAGAAGCCTAAAGGCTGGGGTATGACTGGGGTTGTAGTAATAGCCCAGCATGGATGAGACCCTGGGTTCCATTCCAGCACAGCCAGAAAAAGAGAAAGAAAGTCCCAAAACACAAGGTTTCTCCATCTTTTAGGTCCAGCCAAAAGAGCTTCTCTGTTTCTTCTAGAGCTCTCCAATACAACCATTCAATACCAGTTCAGGGCGTCAGGTCATGGATTTATCTACATGTTTTCTCACTCAGACTTGTCCCAAAAATGAATCTTCTTCCACGTATTGAAATAGCAGGAAAGAAAAAAAAAGATAGAACTCCTCTAGCCAATTCCACACATGTTTCTCAAAATACACCAAAGTTGTTTGGTAGAGCTGTGTCTTGTCTTTGGACATGTGTGTGTGTGTGTGTGTGTGTGTGTGTGTGTGTGTGTGTGTGTGTACATGGATGTGCATGTACCCCAGACAACCTGTTCAAAAATGCAAGTTTCTTTAAGCTTTTGCAAAGGAGACATTTTCTGACCCAGGGGACATTATGCCCACAGAAGACATTTGTTAATGTGTAAAGAGCTTTTATTGTCACACTCTAGTGAATTGAGATCAAAGAGGATGCTAAACATTCTAAAGTGCATAGCACAGCCTGCAGAATGTAGAAGCAGCTAGCTAAGAATAAGGTGGTGCTCTGGAAACAGTATGTGATAAGGAGTGTAGCATCAAAACCAGCTATTTCTACCCATTCTCTATGGGCCAGCTGAGAATGGGCAGGATTGTTCTGATGTACCTGAGTAGGTTTGTTTAGATTTATTTTTATTTATGTGTATCTATGAGTACATGTGTTCAGGTGCCCACCCAGACCAGAAGAGGGCATCAGATCCCCTGGAGCTGGGGTTACAGGCGATTGTGAGTAACCCAATGTGGGTGCTGGAAACTAAGCCCCTGAGTGTTTTTAAACCTCTCTCCTTCGATTGCCAGGAAATTATAGCAACCAATTAGCTGGACATAGTGGTATATTCCTGTAATAGCACTCAAACAGCTGAGGCAGGAGGACTGAATGTTAGAGACTAGCTTTTGTTTCATAGTGAGATTTTGTTTTAAAAATAAGGGACTGGAGAACTGGCTTAGTGGTTACGAGCACTGGCAGTTCTTCTAGAAGAATCACGTTCAATTCCCAGCATCCACATAACAGCTTACAAACACCCATAAATAACTCTAGTTCCAGGGGGTTCTGGCCCCACCTTTCGGTTTCCATGGGCACCAGGTATGAATGTGGTGCACAGACATACATGCAAGCAACAACCATACACATACAATTAAATAGATTTCTAAAAGAGGAGAGGTGGATAAATAAATAAAAAATGAAAAGAAGTGCAAGAGGAAATGCAAGAGTATAGTGACATGTAGGTTCCCATCTGCACCTCCCAACTTAATGAGGGACTTCCAGGAGGCCCTGGGGGCTCTGCAGTTCACCTCCTTTGCCAACAGGGCATTACCTTCAGACAGAATGCTCAGCACCTCATCAGAAGTGTGCCCTCCAACACACACCACCTTCCTGGGGTTTTCATGGGGCACGCAGGAGCCCACAGGGGACTGGTATGTGCCCTCGGCAGCTGAGGCAGTCATTGCTTCCCACTGAATCACCATCTTGGGAGGGTGGACATCCAGGTTGCACCCTGTCCAGCCATAGAAGGCTAGAGACAAGAGAAGTCCTTGGGCTGGATTCAGTATTCCCTGGGAAGGACGGCAAAAGGACACATGGAGGTCAAAGGAAAAGTGACAACCTTTGGTCAACATAATACGTTCCATCCTGGTAAGCCCAGTGGCTGGTCTTCCTCTGAAACACTCATAAACATAAAATAAACTATCTAATTTTAAAACAAGCAAAAAAGAGTAACAGTTTGATACTGTAAGTTAACTTCAAATGCTTCATACTCTAGGCCAGAGCAACTTAACAGAGATTGCCTAGTTTTTATTCATTCGTTTATGCATTCACTCACACACTCCCTCACTCATTTTGCAGTGCTGATGATCAAACACAGAAACCCTTGAATGCTAGGCTCTACCATCAGCTATATCCCAGCTCTGAGCCTATCCAATAATACAGTGACTGAATCTAGCTTGGCATTACACCAGGATGATAGAGATAATCCAAAAATCTTGCACTGGTTATACATTTATACATTTTACTTCGAATGTTTTTTTTTTCCATATTGATTTTCTTTTTTTACAAGAAGAAAAAATAAGTCTAGATTGGCCTACCATAATAAACCATGTGGTCCTGGCTGCATTCTGGATGCGTTTCAGAGAGCCCCCACGGATATCTGGTTGCATTTCAAGGTAGAACAAAAGACTTTCATTGATGATATTGGACAACCAACTGATGGGAAGAAAATGGTCCACAGGTAAAGAAAGCACTCAGTGAAATTCATTGTGACTTTCACCATGGTCTATATGTACCAGTTTTTGGTAGCAACTTGACCACTTTTGTGGGAAGGAATTGAGTTGTTACCAAGACCTTAAGAAGTACAAATCCTTCTCTTGGTCTAACACAGACCTCAAATAGTCCTCCTGGTAGAAACACTCCACATCACATCAAGGTGTAAAGTTTAACCCTCTATCAAACCAGAACTCATTCTCCATAAGAGAGGTAACCTAAAGACTTTCTTTCTTTCTCTCTTTTTCTTTTTTTAAATTTTATTTTATTTAAATAACATTTTTTCATTTATTTTACATACTGACCACAGTTTCCCCTCCCTCCTCTCCTCCCTGTTTCCCCTCCCCATCTTTCTTTCCTTTTTCTTGAGAAGTAACCTAAACTTTTGATGGAGACCAAAATGCTATTTTGATATTTTATGCGGAATTTGTGTGTACCTGAGAGATGATGCATGCATGCTTGGGGGCAGGGGCAGGGGGAGGGGGAGTCAGAGGACATCTCTAGGAGTTAGTTCTCTCCTGCCACCTTGTGAGATGCAGGAATCAAATCAAATCAAGTAGTCAGTACTGAGCATAAGCACCTCTACTTACTGAACCATCTCATTAGTCCTGTGGTAATTTAAAGGAGAATGGCTTTGGTAGGCTCATCCATTTGAATACTTGACTCCCAGTTGGTGGAATTATTTGGGAAAGGTTAGGAGGTGTGGCCTTGTTGAAGGGGGAGTGTCACTGGTGGTGAGCTGTGAAGTTTCAAAAGCCCACAGCGTTCTCAGTGAGACTCTTTGCTTCCATTTTGTGAACTGGGATGTGAACTTTGAGATGCTGCTCCAGTGCATTGCCAGTCTGCTTGCTACCATGCTCCTTGCTATGATGGTGAAGAACTCCTATCCTTCTCTCTCTCTTTTGTTTTGTTTTTTGAGACAGGGTTCTCGATAGCTTTGGAGACTGTCCTGGAACTTGCTCTATGGTCTGGCCTTGAACTCACAGAGATCCGCCTACCTCTGTCTCCCAAGTGCTGGGATTAAAGGCGTGGGCCACCACTGCCTGGCAAACCTTTCTTTCTATAAATTGCCTTTGTCATGACTTTTTTTATTACAGCAGTAGAAAAATACTTAAAACAAGTCCTTATGTGGAATTTTAAAATGTCAGTCTTGGTAGGTCCCTGGAATGTGAAATAACAAGGTGAATGGATGACAAGCAGTAGATAATTTAGGCCTCTCCTCAGAGGGCATTTAAAGAAATGTCCTCATGCCAGGGGAATTAATACTACAAAGAGTTGACATGTTCTGTATGGTACTGATTCATTACTGTTTGGATAGAATCTTTTTTTTTCTTTTTTTTTTTAATTAAGAAAATTTCTATTTACCCTACATACCACCCAAAGATCCTCCCTCCTCCCACCCCTCAGCCCTCCCTCCCAAGCTACCCCCCATCCCCACATCCTCCAAATCAAGGTCTCCTATGGGGAGTCAGCAGTGCCTGGCACACCGAGCCAAGGCAGGTCCAAGCCCCTTCCTGCCACACCAAGGCTGCACAAGGTGCCACACCGCAGGCACCAGGCTTCCAAAAGCCTACCCATGCACTAGAGATGGATCCCGATCCCCCGGCCAGGTGTCCCCCAAACAGTTCGGGCTAAACAACTGTCTCCTGTAACCAGAGGGCCTAGTCCAGTCCCATGTGGCCTCCACAGCCACTAGTCCACAGTTCATGGGTCTCCACCAGTGTGGCCGGTCATTTCTGCATGTCTTCCCATCGTGATCTGGAAGTCCCTTCAGAATCCCTCCTCTCTCCCATCGACTGGATTCATGGAGCTTAGCCTGGCGCCCAGCTGTGGATCCCTGCATCTGCCTCCATCAGTCACTGGAAAAAGGCTCTATGATGACAGTTAGGGTATTCACTAGACCAGTCACCAGAGTAGACCGGTCCAGGCACCCCCTCGATCACTGCCAGCAGTCCAAGGTGGGGTCATCCCTGTGGATTCCTGAGAGCTTCCCCGGCACCCTGCCTCTTCCCACTCCCATGATGTCTTCATCTTGGATAGAATCTTTTTACATACGATTTGCTACATGCTTTCAAAGCATCAACCGCAAATATTTGTGCAAAGGCGGACACAAAAGGGGATAATTGCTCAGCTTCTTCTCTACCCACCAGTGAGTGAGCTAAGCCTTTACACTGAAGATGGGCCTTGACCCTTTCCCTAAAGACACAGGACTTGTGGGGACAAGAGTAAGACAGATGGGCACACTCATAAAACACAGCCAGGGCATAGGAAGATGAATCATCAGTCAAAAGTACTTGCTGTTCTTGCAGAGGATCTAGGTTCAGTTCCCAACACCCACAAGATAGATCACAAACGTCTGTACCTGCTGGGTACAGTGGCACATGTCTTTAATCCCAGCACTTCAGAGGCAGGCATATCTCTGTGAGTTCCAGGCTAACCAGAGCAACTTCATAAGACCCTGTCTCTGTCTTTAAAAGCAAAAACAAAATGGTAACTCCAAGGGAATCTGAACATCCTCTCCTGGTCTCCATGGGCACTAAACACACACATAGTACATACACTTCCACACAAGCAAAATACTTATATACATAAAATAAAAAGCATGACTGTCCCTTTATTTTGGTTAGCCCAGCAATGAGACGAAATATCAGGTGCATACGGCTTAAATATTTGAAAACTGAGCCAGGTGGTGGTGGCGCACACCTTTAATCCCAGCACTCAGGAGGCAGAGCCAGGCGGATCTTTGTGAGTTTGAGGCCAGCCTGGTCTACAGAGCAAGATCCAGGAAAGGCGCAAAGCTACACAGAGAAAGCCTCTCTTGAAAAAAAAAAATTGAAAACTGAACATATAGCTGGGCATGGCAGTACATGTCTGTAATCCTAGCAACTGGAAGACAGAGGCATAGGAATCACTGAAAATTCAAGGCCACCTGGGTCTACATAACATGTTCTGGGTCAGCTAGGGGTATATAGTGAGACATTGTCTCAAACAATAATAAAATAGAGAGAAGAGGAGGAGGAGATAAAAGAAAAGAAAAACTGGCTGAATCTGTCTTTAAAAAACAAAACAAAAACTTGAACACTTAGCTTCTTATTCTCAGGGTTTGGTACATAATTGTCATAAAGGTTTTATAAAAATATATGAGTTCTGGATTTGCTGACCTGTGTTTTTTGTTCATTCCTTTAGGGAATATCTTGCATTGTCTCAAAGATTTCCCTTCCAGATTCTTTCCATTGGAACACTCAAGTCACATTTGGAAAAGTAAAATGACAAGTTGGCATATCCTTCCCACTAACACAACCAACAATAAAAATACTAGAAGAAAGGTTACCACGCAATTAACACCAGCATTATTTTGAAAAACCGGGTCTTGATCACGGCTCCCATCAGTCTCTCGTTCTCTGTGTAAACACCTTTTCTTCCTTTCAGTAAAGAGGCCACTGTGGGGGTGTAGAAGAATGTCAGACAACATTCATGACTTACATTAACTCCATAATAGAGAAGAAAATCGAAGCAGATATGAACTCTTACACACAGCCAGAAGGGCATGAGGCAAAGCCCATTACTAACAGTCATTACAGTGTTGCACCTGAAGTCCTCACAGATACCAAAGTATACACATGTGCATGTACACATATATACACACACATACATAGAAACTTATACTTTGAAATAACTTTTTATTTGTGTGATACTTGGAATGAAACTTAGGGCCTCATGCATGCTAGGCAAGTGCTCTACCACTGAACTCTGTCCGTTTAACTTACTGAGCCCAGAGAATTGCGACACACCTAGAGCTTCTCCTAGCTTCTCCCAGTGTTAACATCGTGCACAAATGCAGGACTTTTGTCACAACTGAGAAATTAACACTGATCATTTTTTTCACTGAACTCTTGATTTTATTAGGAATTCATTCAAGTACTGTGTTTTAAAAGGCTTGTTTTGTCCATTCTAAAATAATATACACTTATTATTTTAGTATATTGAAAATTTTAACAATTCTCCTTAAAGACAAGTTAGAATATATGTTTAGAGAAGAATTAATGACCCTTGGTATCTCTACACAGATATAACCACTGGAAAACTATAGTGTTTGGCCAAGGCATTTCCACTGCTTTGTCAAAACAAAACAAAACAAACAAAAAACTACTTGTGTGTAATTTTTAAAACAAAAATCCTATATTTAAAAGCAGTTAAGAAAAAATTCATCCAAAGATACGAAATTCCTATCAATAATAATATATTTTAAAAGATTATTTTAATTCTACAAGCAAGAGCTGGAGAGAGATGCCTCAGTGGTTAAAAGCACTTCCTGCTCTTGCAGAAGACTGGAGTTTGGTTCCCAGCAACTACATGACAGTTCACAACCATCTGTAACTTCAGTTCCAGGGAATCTGATGCCCTCTTTTGGCCTTTACAGATATGTAATGCATATAAACTCAGGTAGGCACACACACATATACATAAATATAGTAAATAAATAAATTTTTCAGCTTCACCAACTGCTGATACTATAGCATAAAAAGTATAGTATTTAATGCACTATATCTAAAAGCAGCTAGGAAAAGATGCATCTAAAGCATCAATAGTTTATTACTAGTGATAGAGACTTTAAATACTCTCTTTAGAAATTTCTACAAACAACTGCTGATTCTTAAATGACCTTTCTGTGAAGGCCAATGTGCAAATGCCTTAATTCACATTCTACCCAAGAGATACACAGAAGCATGAGACAGATGGGCACTCGCTTCAAGTCATGGTCACTTGAGGAGATGGTAAGGCTGAGATACAGGTCCCTAATCCTAGCTGTAAGAGGTATGTCCCTCTGCTGACTCACTATCTCCCTCTCTTCTAGATTTTACCCTTGCAATGGATTCATTTCCTGTGTTCCTGTACATCTGAAAAAATGCATAGGTCAAGTGAGTGCATAGGAATGACTAGACTCTGAATCCATACCTGATCCCTTCCCTTATCTGCCTCTTGCTCTATCTACTTCTATGTGGCCTCTACAATTTTACAAAATCACCTGCAGGCCCTCCATACTAAAGGCAGACTCTGCAGGAGCCCAGCACAGAAGTGAAGCCTCAACTAAAACTGATGGTCTTTAGTTAAACAAATATCAAATAGGCTTTCACATTTTCACTTATTAAACATGGTCAGTTTGTCCAACTATTCTGTTCATGTTTTTTAAAAAATGATAAATAAGGTCAACTGTGGTACGTAATTCCCAAGGAAACAGCTGTATTTTTATGTGAGTCCAAGGCATGCAGATGTACTTAGTGTCCATATACCAAGAGTAATTCCCCCAAGATTTACCTGCAGTCACTGTCTTGTGAAACAGGATAGGGTTGGCCACAAGGACAAGCAGTAGTGGCAAGTACGTGGTGACATAATGAGGGATAGCATGGTCCAGGCCCCTCTCACACCTTAAAAGAGGAATATCAAAACATTCTCCTTCAAAAAAATGCTTCAGATGAGATGGCCCACTTACCTGGAAGCTGAGATAAGAGAATAGAGGAGAGGGAAATACATCAATCTGCTTCTGACTGTGTCCAAAGGAAATATGACTCATTTCTCTTGTGTGAAAACAAGTAATGCATTACAGGATGGTGAAGGAGATGGATCATGTTCCTGTCTCATATATGGGAAGAGTGATAGAGCATTTCACTGGGGAAACCCTTTTAAGGCCTGCTAGGGAAACATAGGATGGAAAAAAGCCTTCTGGAGTGGTAGGTTCTCTGCATTGGGTCCCTTCAAGGAAAAAGCACACAATTCATGTGGAAGGGGAGACAAAGGCACCTATTTAAGTACAGAGCTTTGAGTACTTGCTACATGGCCTTGCCCAGTAACATAATATGATCCACTCCATATCCCTGAGCAACTCATAATTTCAGAATGTAGAAGTTTAAGATTTAAAATAAACTGGGTGTGGTGGTGCATGCCTTTAATCCCAGCACTCGGGAGTCAGAGGCAATTGGATCTCTGAGTTCGAGGCCAGCCTAGTCTATATAGCAAGTTCCAGGACAGCCAGCGCTATCTAATAGAGAGACCCTGCCAAAAAAAATAAAAAAAGATTTAAAATTAAATAGTTTTTCATTATCATGGTCACAGAAGTTATTCTTTTCAGGGCAACTAATAATGATTTCTACAAATTAATCACAGAAATCATTGGTTACCTTAAGATGTAGTGAAAGGCCATGCACTCGTGTTACAAAGATAGGAACTGAAGCCGAGAAATGGCTCAGAGGTTGAGAGCACTTGCTGCTCTTGCAGAAGACCTGGGTTCAGTTCCCAGCACTCATACATCACAATCATCAGAGGATCCTGTGCCCTCTTCAGACCTCCTCTGGCACCAGGCACACATATGGTACACATACATACATGCAGGCAAAATACTGATATAAATAAAATATTTTTAATCCAAAAAAAGGTAAGAATTATCAGCTAAAACACACATGTTTTAAGAGAAGAAAATGGATGCTGATAACTCTTACCGGGCAGCGGTAACACACACCTTTAATTTCAGGAAGTAATACTGCAGGACACAGAAAGGTATATAAGGCATGAGGAAACAGGAACTTGCTCTCTTGAGGCTGAGGATTTCATTGAGGTAAGTTAGTGGCTGGCTGTTCTGCTTCTCTGATCTTTCAGCTTTCACCCCAATATCTGGCTCTGGGTTTTTTTTAATCATAAGACCTTTTAAAATTCATGTTACAATGGGTAGCACAGAACTAAGAGATAATCATACATCAAGATTTTAAATCCAAGCCATCTGTCAAAGGCATTTGGGCACCCAGAGACTCCTTGCAAGCTGTCAATCAATGAAACTCATGGGCTCAAATTGTTTTCTGGAAATTTCCAGGTCCCAGAGGGAACCACATGAGAAAAGAAAGCACTTTCCAAGTGTATTCTACTACAATAGCTATAACACTGTTGTCTGCCCTTTATAAGTTCTCCAGAAAGCAGAATATACAGTGGACCTGCACTGAACTCCCTGAGAACACTCATAGTTGGCAAGGTGTATTGGTGTAAATGAGAAATGTCACCAACAGGCTCAGGTATTTGAACAGTTGGTCCCCAGTTAGTAGTGTTGTTTGGGAGGTGGTGTGCAGTCTTGCTGTAGGAATATGTCACTGAGAGTTTATAGCCTTGCTCTACTTCCTGTTCACTCTCTTAGTTTTGTGTTTGTGGTTGAAGATGTGATCTCTCAGCTTCCTGATCCCCCAACCATGGCTGCCACTTGTTGTCACACCTCCCTGTCACGATAGACTCTTAATCTCTCTGGAAGTGCAAGCCCACATAAACTCTCCCTTCTTTAAACTTTAGTCATGGTGCTTTATCATAGCAACAGAAAAGTAAATTAATAAACAATGCAATACCAAAGTAGAGACATATATCCAACAAAGGAACTGAAAGTAGTAAAAAAAAGTTCTACACTATGGGTCAGCAAACTTATCCTGTATATAGAGAGATGGTTCATATATTTCAACTTCATGGTCTCTGTTGTAGCTTCTGAATTCTGTCTCTGTAAAGCACAGGCAGCCGCAGACAGCACATAAACAAGTATAGTTGTGTTCCAATAAAACTATATTCATAAACATAGGCAAAGGGTAAGATTTGTCAGGAGGGTTCTGCTGTGCTGAGCCCTGGTTTACACATTCCTAAAATCACAGAGACACTGTTTATCTCTGTCTGTTTTCTACTTAAATTTAGAGTGTTCATCCTTAGGCCTTGAGGCTTTATAAATATCTCCATTTGCAGGGAGGGGATGGATCTCAGGGCATCAAGGATGTTGAAATTCCTCTACCACTGAGTTACCTTGCCTAGGTCCCTTATTTTTTCCAGTTGGATTTATCTATACAGCTTTTCATTCCCTATTAGAGACATACAACAGACCAGGGATCTGGGCACTATATTGCTGGGTGACCTGGCTTACCTGGACACAGAAGGGTAGTAAAGCATGACTGCCCCCTCCACACAGAGCAGCACAGCCAGGCCCCAGGCCATGATGTGGTATAGCAGGATGGTGCTAGGAGAAAACAGAAGAGGGGTGGCCACAGTTCAGAGGGTCACAGGCCTGCCCAGTGGAAATGACCAGATTAGCTTCTATGCTTCAAAGAGCTTCCTGTGCTGTTGGTGAGGGGGTTGTTGGGTTTAGATTGTTGTTTTTTCAATTAAGATAAAATTCACATCACATAAAATTTGTTATTTGAAAGTGAACAATTCAGAGACACTTTGCACATTCACAGTGTTGTTCGATCATTACAACAATCTAGTTCCAGAACATTTTGATCACCACAAAAGAAGCCCTCATTCCCATTAGCATTCACTATCATTCCTTCTGGCCCTGAGAACTTCTAATATGCTTTGTTCTGTGGAATTGTCTGTTCTGGACATTCACAAAGACGATAGCACATTGAGTGGCTTTGTGTCTGGTATTTTTCACTCAGCATGTTTTTCATAGCTGAGTAATAAACCATTATATGGGCAGACCCTACTATGTTCCTTCATAATGGAAATTTAGACTGCTTCTATCTTTTGGCTACTATGAACAGTACTCTTATGAACATGTATATACAGCTATCTGAGTTCCTGTTTTTAATTTTTGGTATGCGTGTATGCGTGTGTATGTGCGTAATTGCTGGGTCAAATGGTATTTTCGTGTTAAGCCGGCACACATACATCTTCATAGATGACAGTCAGTTGCTCTATGACTAAGCTGCACTCGGCCCCTTCATACTTCATTTTTGAAGGAACCAAATTTTCTTTGTCTTTGATAACAGTGAACACTACTTATTTTTCTTTTCTTGGTTTTGAGGGGTGTGTGTGTGTGTGTGTGTGTGTGTGTGTGTGTGTGTGTGTGTGTGTGTGTGTTTAAAAAACAAACAAACAAAAAAGTGGGAGTTCACTATGTTGTCCAGAGTGGCCTTGAACTCCTGAGCTCAAGTAATTGTCCTGCTTTAGCCTACAAAGTAGCTGCAACTACAGATACACACCATTATGTAATTCCAGCTCTGATGACAGCCATCTTAACGGGAGGGTGATGACTGCTACTTCTGAGACTCATTCTTAATAAAAACCATAAGAGAAACAATCCCATACGTAGATGTCCTCAGACAGCACTGTCAAGCTCTTATCTGTTATGATTTGAATGTTGCCAGGAAATTCTACTGTGAAGGTAACAGTGTTAAAGATATGAGGCCTTAAAAAAGAAATGGAGCCTTCTGAAAAGTGATTGATTTTGGTATGTAATTAGTTGGCCCAGTTGCTTTGACCCTGCGGTAATACATTATGGTGATAGTATATGGCACGGTGAAATCACTCATTGAATGGACAGGAGGCAAGAAAGAAAGAAGGAAGGACCAGGGGTCCATGACCCCCTTGCAGGGCAGACCTCAGATGACTTGAAAACTTCTCACTAAGCCACCCCTTAGAGGTTCTATCACTTCCCAATTGCACCCCACTACAACTAAGCTTTGACACATGAGCCTTTGAGGGACAAATAAGATCCAAACTACAGCAGACAACCTTTTGGGGCACAATTTTCATGTCTGTTTCTCTTGACCCTCCATACCCACACACATGCTACACACCTTAACATGTTCATGGAGGTAAGAGGACAACTTGTGGGATCTGATTCTCTCCTTTCCAGGAATCAAACCCAGGTCATTAAGGCTGATGGCAAGTGCCCTTACCCACTGAGCCACCATGCTATCTAAGCCATCTTATGGCATATAAGGTATAATTCTTTTTTCTAAAGACTTATTCATTTTTATTCATTTTATTTCATGTGTATGTGTGAGTGCCTGCATGTATGTATATGCACCACATACATGCTTGGTGCCCTGCAAGGCCCCTAGAGCTAGAGTTATGGGTAGCCGTAAGTTATGTGGAACTGTACCAGTATGGTGAATCTCAACTTTCAGTGGTCAAGGTTTATGGAACAAAAGTTGTAGACACAGAAAATGCTAAGAACAAAGTAAGTCCTTTTTCTGAATAGGAGGCTATAAGTTCAAGTATATGGCATATAAAACTCCTCATAAGAATCATACAAGAAATTTCTCCCCCTAAACACTAACTAGGGAAACAGGAACAGAGGCTGAGAAATCAAGTTCAGAACTATGATCATCCAAAGCAGAAGACTAAGTTTATAAGTTAAGTAGCTGAAGAGTGTGGTAGCCAGAACAAGGTCCCAATGATGTCCATGTCCTGATGTCCAGAACCTAGAAGTACAAAGCTTTATACAACAGATGTGATAAAGTCCACAGATGTGATTGAGTAAGGATTTTTGAGGTGAGATCAGCTTAGATTACCAGGGTGGCCCAATATAATCATAGGAATTCATAAAAATACCGGAACTTTGGGTTAGAGTACGCATAGACAAACCCCTGTCTCAAAAATAGGTAGGTAGGTAGGTAGGTAGGTAGATAGATAGATAGATAGATAGATAGAGTCAAGCAGTGGTGGCACACCTTTAACCTCAGCACTCTGGGAGGCAGAGGCAGGCAGATTGAGTTTCAGGACAGCCTGGTCTACAGAGTGAGTCCCATGACAGCCAGGGCTACAGAGAGAAACCCTGTCTTGAAAAACGTAAATAAATAAACAAACAAATAAATAAATAAATAAATAAATAAATACATAAATAAATGTAGGGCTAGAGGGATGGCTCAGCATTAAGAGCACTGGCTGCTCTTCTAGAGTACTCGGGCTCGATTCCCAGCATCTACATGGTGGCTTCCAACCATCTGTAACTCAAATTCCAGGGTATCTAATACCTTATTCTACCCTCTTCATGCACATGATGCACAGACAGGCATGCAAGCAAAACACCCATACATAAAAAGAAATAAAGGTAAAAAACACTCAAAATGCAATAAGATAAGTGTCAAAACACTAAAATCTAGAAAAGAAAAAAAGGGCTCTACTTTAAACAGGGGCGGGTGGGAAGCTAGAGAGATGCTTCAGTTAAGAGCACTATACTACTCTTGGAGAGGACCTGAGTTCAGTTCCCAGTACCCTTGTCAGGCAGTTTCATAAATGTCTGTAACTCTAGCTCTAAGGGATCCAGGTAATGCCCTCTTCTGACTTCTTCAGTCACATTCATAAGCCCACATACAGATACACAAATATACACATAATTAAAAATAAATAGTAAATAAAATGGGGATGGATATCTTGGATGGAAATCAGACAAAGGGTGCAATCTGAAGGCTCAAACAGAGAAACTGCATCTCAGGACCTGGTAGGGATTAGACATCCCAAATTTTGCAGGCAAACCTGAGGGGTTTCTTTACTTCCTCCCTCCTCTGCACTCCCCATTCCCTGCATAACTCACATTCCTGCCATATCCCTCCTTTATCTTTATGCTTGCACATACACACCCAGCCCTACCCTTGTCACCCAATCCCCCAGATTTGAGAACAAGGCCTTCCAGATGCTGCCAGTAACTCTGTAGAGTCACACAGCTGATCCCATGGAGCAGTGGATAGCATTCAGAGATGCTTTTTTGTGATTGGGTGGGCATGTTGGGCTCCATCAGTCACACACACTAGCTGTCATTCAAGATTCAGCAGGATACCCAGCAAATGGCACCCCATGTCCGATTGGGATTCTGACTTTGAAGATCAGCTGTATGAACAGAAAGCATGCTCATGGATCAGAGCAGGAAACCAGGACATTAAGCAGGAAAAGAAGCAGAGGCTGGCACACAAAGCTTCTAAAGAAAAACTATTTTGTGCCAGCTGTCTGGGAGAGCACAAGGAAATGACTCCAGCATACTTTGCCTCCCCCATTGTAACCAGTTCCTGGAGTATCCCTCCTCCGGCCTCACAGGGGCAGGAAGCTGTGGGGGAGCATGTCAGTAATGTGAGTATTGCCAGAGGTCTAGGCTGTGTGGAGACTCAGTTACCCCAGAACAGCTGTCTGCAGGGGGCTGTATTGTTGATGACAGCAAAATCTGCTCACTCCACCACACCCTCCCCTCATTTTGGGCCACACTTGATGCATTTACAGAGTAGGGAGTGAGCAGTTCAGAAGGCAAGACCAACCAGTCCAAGACTGGAGGTCCCCGAAGCCTGGACAGTAGTTCTTCCTTCTATGCAACAACAGCCATATCTGGGCCACAGGATACAGGAGGTAACTATATTAATAAAGGATGCCTTCTGAAACCCAGCCAGGTTATGTGCCTTGCACCTCAACTCAGTGGCAACTCATGGCAGTCAGACCATAACTAATCCCCTACATACCTTTATCTGAATGCTAGATGGCTCCCAACTACAGGCATATGGAGGTGCCCCCACAAACTTTCTGCCACTCATACTTCATTTCTTTTTGCAACAGGTTCCCATTATTCAGTCTGAGTTGACCTCCATCTACAGATCCTCAGTCTCTGGCGTGCTCGAGGTTACTCAAGTGTGCCCCATGGAGAACTACACTATCGTTTTCTTACAATAAATGGTACTTTTAGTTCAAGGCCCTTTTCAAGGCCCCATGTAATTTATTTTGAAACCTGTATATTCCAAACTAGGAGGGAGCTACAGTGAAAGTTGAAATTTAAACTTTACATCTATCTTAACGACCTTTCTTGGGATGGGAATTAAAGGGGGAAATACTCCTTTGTCTGCCAAAGAAAGTGGGTGAGTGTTGACTGGATCTCAAAGGACATGTAAAGTTTAGCCAGCCACGTTTGCCAAGTTGGGCCCCTGCCCTGGAATTCAGCAGGATATCTCTCCCCACTGGCCTCGGTCTCTCAGTGGCCATCTGCTGAAGCAACTACACCCACTACCCTGGAAACCAGCAGCCTCTTCAAAGGGGAAAGTCACATTCCCAGCTCTGGTTCATTCCAGCCAGTGAGGCCACACCCACATTTTGCCCAAGGCTCCAAGAAGTAGGACTTGTACTCACCCAGGCATCAGGGTGAGATTTAGTCTCCACAGAAACGGAGCATCTTTGTTACCTCTGCTGTGTACCTGGTTTCTCTATGATGAGGAACCCAGTCCATTCCTCACAGGCACATATCAGTTTTTCAAAGTCTTATGAATTTTTTTGTGTTTGTTTGTTTGTTTTGCTTTGTTTTTACACCCCAATGTTTCCCCTCCCTCCTTTCCTTCTAGTTCCTCCCCTCACCTCTTCCCTCCTCCTCTTCCATTTCTATTCAGAAAAGGGCAGACCTCCCAGGGATATCAGCCAGCCATGGCACATCAAGCTGCAGTGAGACTAGGCACTTCTTCTCTTAATAAGGCTGGATGAGGCAACCCGGCAGGAGGAAAGGGTCCCAAAAGCAGGCAACAGAGTCAGAGACAGCACCTGCTCCCACTGTTAGGAGTCCCACAAGAAGACCAAGCTATACAACTGTAACATATATGCAGACAGGCACATATCTTAAGGCTTGAAACTTGTCCTTGTTCTTGCCCTTGTAAAGCTTCTGGGACTTCACAACCCATGTATTAACTTTCTACATGATAGCACATCCTCAGAAGCCATACTCTTCCTAGAACCTTCTAGATGCTGGCATCACCATCATCTTGCCTGCTAAAATGAATGTTTACCTCATAATTAATACCAAAGCCCCAGAGTAGCAGGGGACAAGATGGGAGCCCAGATGATAAACAGAACATAAAATCAGTGTGGGATGACATGAAGTGAGGGGCTCTCACATAGTGTTCACTTCCAAATCTTCCAAATGTCTGATTCCCCGCCCCCTTTTATAGTTTGTTTATTTTGGTTTGGCCACTGGAATTGAACCCAGGGTCTTGAATACAGATGTTCTTCACTTGAACTTACCAACAGCCCCTAACTATTTAATTTCCCAAGTTACTTATTTGCAAGGTTGTAAGAATTTTGATGTTTTGAATTTGCCAGTGGTATCTTATAAAAATGAGCTGTCAGCTGGGAATAGTGGCAAATCCTTTTAATCTGAACCCCCAAGAAGCAGAGGCAGGAGGATCCTAGGTTCAAGGGAAGCCTGGATTGCATAGTGAGACCAGGTTCCAAAAGAAATGTTACTATAAAAATGAGGAAGCATAAATATTTCTGGATGTAAATCCAATTGACAGGCTGAGTCGCACTGCAAAGAACCTTTGAATGCCCAATAGCATGTCCAAATTTTACTCACAGAAGCAGGAAAGACATCCCTGTTCATGTTTCCAGTCAATAAATACCTCAGTCCTGCAGATCTCCTGATCACCAAGTACACATCAACTGCATAGCAGAAGAGCCACCAGAGGCAGGCACCATACAACAGCTGGATCCACATCTATAATAAAGAGGAGCTCAGCATCAATGATTCTAGCAGTATGCATGAGGTGTCCAACTCAGCCTGAAATGAGGAGCAGACACAGGTTTGCCTGGCAGCATGGGTGAGCTATCCCATGTGGACACTTTCTCTGAAACTCATATTGGCTATGACCCAGAGGCATATGTGTGTGCATTTGTCCTCTGTCTATATAGTTAGATTTGATATGAGAACTCTATCTCTGGTGTGCCTACAGACAAGGCACTTAGAGGTCCATGATGCCAAGTTTACAATGGTGGAAGGACTCCTGTGATTTAAGGTAGAAGTTCTGTTTCTGAGAAGGGGAAAGTGTGGGCCTGAGAGACTCAGAAAGCACTTCAGAAGATGACAAGAGTGGAGGCTGGGTTGCAGCATAAAATCGATGTGTTTTAGTAATGTTGTTGAGACAGGGGCATTGTTGGAATGCAGTTAGGAAACCGTAGAGAGTATAAATGGAAATAAGGTGGAAATTCTGTAGAGGAACTGAGACTCCACACAGTGTTCATGCTTTCTACACATCATTCCTATGAGGGGCAGTGCAGTGCAAGAAGCATAGTGTGTTTCTCTGTGTGCAATATGTATATTTACTGAAGGCTTTATTTACACAAAAATTTCATATGGAATATTCAATGTATATTTAAATATATTTCATTTAGAAAACCACATCCAATCTCCCTGTCTTTCTCTGTAGCTGGTTTTGATTGAGGCTGTGTACACATCATGGGAAGTGTGTGTGTGTGTGTGTGTGTGTGTGTGTGTGTGTAAGGCAGAGGCTGAGGCACTGGATGGGGTCATTCTCAGACTTGTGTGTCCATCTGCACCCCAGGCAGACTTGGCCTCACTCTGACTCCTGGTCCTCAGGTCCAGGGCATGACCTGAGGATTGCTTTCATCACAATTCCCAGTGTCTACTCTGCTGACTTTGAAGACCACCATGCAGCAGGAGCAGGAGGAGGAGGGTGAACAAAGGGAGATAACTCACCGCACTCCCTACACAGAAAGCAGCAGGCCAAATGTCTGTTCCATTCACATTGGAGATGTTTTCAATGAAATCTGGGTAGGCTACCCACACCGTGGACCTGGTAACGATTCCTGTATGAGAATTAGATAGTAAAAACCTATTTGATTTTAATTCAAATCTGAAACAAGCTGGCTGCTTTGGAGGGGGGTATAAAAAAAGAAAACAAAGGAAGAAAGGAAAGAAAGATGAAAGAGAAAAACAGACATATTAGTGTGTAACAATAAAGACAAAACTGAAGGCTGAGAAACTGAGATAATTGTTATTGTCAGAGTTATCCCAGGCACTTAAGTGTCTAGTCAAACCATAAGCAGGAATGTGCATTATGCTCTAGTTGAAAAAGGATATTGGCAAATTCATTCTGTTTTGGGTCAAGTAGTTAACCATGATTGTTTTGTGGACCACAGTGTCTATTTCCAACCTTTTACTCTGCCCTAGCAGGACTTAAGAGGGTCCCAGATCAGGAGTAAATCCTGGGCAGTGCTGTATTCCCACACAACTTTATGTAAATTCAAGCAGAACTCACGTGCCATTTTCTTCTCTGGGGTGTTGAAAACGTTTCAAAATGCTGTGTCATTCTATAAAGGTGTCACAGAACATGCACCAGATAGAACTTTGTATACCTGAGGCTCAAAACCATACTGAGGGGCCAGAGATAGATCTGTTTCTTGGAGATTTTACCCAGCACGCACAGGGCCCTGGTGATTTCAACAGCAGCTCAAAAAATAGGACTTTCAGACTTAAAACAAAAACAAACAAACAAACACATAGGAGAGAACATGGGCACAGATGGTGTTGATTGTCTTCGTTGAATTAACCAAGGACCCGCTTTAGTTTTGTTTGTTTCTGGATTTTAACTGCACAGTCTGAAGTTTCCTTAATAAGCTCCACTAACAAACACATACTTTTGTTAAAAGTTCCATGGACTTTAATTTTACCAACCACTCTGCAGAATTCTCTAGTACTATCCAGTCACCTGGTAAATAGATCCAGCCCTGCTCTAAACACAAGGGCTAGTAGTCACATATCTCAGAGCTGTTCCCAAACCTGGACTCCCCTCTGGGGCCACGCATCATGGCCACTGCAGGTCCCATCCAGTCAGTTGTGTATCATCCTCAAGCGAGGGCAGATCCCACTTTGTGGAACCCTGAACATCCCACCCTGTGAACTGCATATTCCAACCCAAAAAGGAGTTGGCTGTATGCGCTTACCTAGGCAGCCAAGAAAGTCACAGGCGGTGGCAGCGCGGAGAATGTGGACTGAGGCCGGTGGGGTTGTCGCAGGTGCCCTGTGACCAACAGATCTGCGCCCTGGCAGGAGCTGCAGGAGGCCAAGCACCAGGCGGAGAGCCCCGCTGCCCAGGCACAGCGCGTGGAACACCTGCGGTTGGAAGCTCAGCACCAGCTGTGTGGCTGCGTCCCTCGTAGGGCAGCAGAAGATTCCCAGGCGTGGGGAGGCCATTTGTCTTGCTCAGGGACCGGTCTCCGTTCTGAGGAACCCAAGGCTTTTCCCGGTCAGGTGCTGGGCTGGCGAGGGAGGTTGGACATCATGTGCCTGTGCCTCTCCCCCACCCCAGCCCCTTAGGCTACAAAGGCGCCTGGCTCCGTGGGGGAGGTGCGCCCTCCTCAAAAGCCACGAGGTCTCACGAGGCTAATGCTGGATCTTCAGACGGAGGGATGGGGGAAGGAGCGCCAGAGGTGGGCAAGGGTCAGCAATTTCCCCATCCACCAGGCCTTCCCTGTACCTTACCTCCCCAGAACCTACAGCCCGCAACCTGCCATTTTCCCTTAACTGGTCTCCCTGGAGAGATATGTCCCATTAATCAGACAGTTCCTGTTTCTGACTATGACATCTTCATGTGATGCCTGAGAGGCAACATACTCATGTTCATCCACTAAGACTCGTCCCTCTGAATACATCTACTCCTAAACAGAAACAGTCTCCACATCCTACCTTCCCTGTGGTCCTGTCCCATGGAAGCAAACCCACAGGGACCTTCCTTTCAAATTAAAGACATCTGTAATTCCAGCACTTTGGAGGCAGAGGCAGGCCATCTTTATGAGTTCAAGTCCACCATAATCTACATAATGCGTTCCATGCCAACCAAAGCTACACAGTGAGATCCCATCTCAAAACACACACACACACACACACACACACACACACACACACACACACACACACACACACAAATAAGCAAACAATTCACCCTCACACACCAAATAAAACTAAATGACTTACCAGCAGCAAATTCAGGGGTCTTGCTTTTATGTTTTTGAGTCAGGGTCTGACTATGTAGACCAGGCTGACCTCTAACCCACAGAGATCCACCTGCCTCTGCCTCCAGGGTAGTGATATTAAAGGGGTGTGTTACCACCTCAGGGCAACTGACATCTGTGTTTATGGATGGTGAAACAGGACAAGGGTGAATACCAGAGGGCTGGGAATTTTCCAAGTTAAAACTTCATGTTTAGAGTTTTACTCTAGCCAGGTTAGTGGCCCATGCCTTTAATCCCAGGACTTGAGAGACAGAGGCAGGCAGATTTCTGTGAGTTCAAAGCCAGCCTGGTCTACATAATGAGTTCCTCGGCTGATAGGGCTACGGAGTGATCTTGTCTCAAAATTTTTAAAAATGTATTACTCCAGCTCTCCTCTTTAAATCCCACCTGCACCTGGTAGGCCAGCACCCTTTTACAAGTCCCACTCCACCCAGGCCTTGTCCCTCTTAAGAGCTCTTGATATCTATCACTCCAAAGTTTCACAAGGTGTATTAACAGTGGTTACTTGCTCTCTCTACACACAACCCTTTACACAACAAGCTCTACAGGACAAGGTACATGGCTTGGATCACACCTCTATTCTCTGACTATGATGGGAAATGCAGCAAATTTCCTACTTGAACTTTATGCAGAGAGGTTTCAGGTGGAAACAGCACTGTGCAGAAAATATTTACAGGACCCACAACAGGGTTTCTAGCCTCTTTCATTATGCCAGAAAAACTACTTCATGTTTCTGTTTATGTACTGCATACAGTGGAATGATCAATAGTATTAAAACAAATAATTGATGTATTATATTGCCATTGGTTTTTATGTGTAAGAGTGCCTTGCCTGCATGTATATCTGTGCAACATATGTGTGCCTCACACTCATGAAGGCCAGATCAGACAGATGTTACAGATGGTTGTGAGCTGACATGGGTGCTGGTAACTGAATCCAGTACTCTGGAAGAACAGCAAATATTCTTAACTGCTGAGCCATCTCTCCAACTGCTACATTAGGATTCTTAAAATACCTATACTTCAAAAATAATTCTGAACCTTATTATTAATTTAATTCATATTTAATTGATACCTATATTGTATAAATGTTCAGCTATAAATTGCAACTGTAATTAAATATTATGTTTTTGTTCAAATTTAATTCTCTGTGATGTATACAGTATATATAAGGCACCAGTTCCCCTTAGGAGTAAGGCAAGGATCCATTGAGTAGAGGCAGAATATCTTAGGCCCCCCTAGTATAAATGAGGAAGGTATAGATCCTCTTGGACAGATAGGGAAGGCCATAGCTCCACTTAGGCTGAGCAGGAAGACCTGAGGCCCCCTAGGGCAGAGAGGACTTCAGAGCAGTCCAGAAGCAGCCTGGGTGACCAACAGGCTGGTGAGAAGTTCCCTGCTAGGTCTCCTCCTCAGGCTTCTGCTCAGATGATCACGTCTGGGAATAAAAGACAAGGCTACTCTATTTCTAGTGACCAGCTTGAAAGCAGACGGCGTGGAATTTAGATTCTGTTTGCTCCTTTTGTAGTCTGTGACCTCAAACCAAAGCAGTCCACCCCACTTCTCTTTTCCTTTGTTGCACTGGCTCAGCTTCTTTAGCACCATCTCTTTGACACATCTTGGAGCTGGGCAATTGAACAGGCTGTCTGAACACCGAGAGACAAAGATTTGGCTTCTCATGTGCCTCTGGGATCCAAGGAGCTCCTTGGCATTCTTTGATCTGGCTCATGAACAAAGGTGTGCTCCTTGATCAAATCTGTCCTCAGGTACATCCTCTGGACAGGGGCTGATGTCTCCAAGGTGGCCATGCTCTCAGGGCCCTGATATTATGAATAATGATTTACTTTCTGAAGACTGTGGACACTGTTGGAGGGGAAACTCCCAAGACTTGACTGATGGCTGGGCTTGGTGCACCAGCAAAACCTCACAAAAGCACTCAGGAACCTCTGTCCTTGGGTTCCACATGAACCAGATCCATGCCAACAGACACAAGGCGCCATGGCAACCATAGGTACATCATGCTCTCTGAATAACTTTGGACCCTCAGGACCTTCTGTTCTTAGGTGACTCACAGGCTAGGTTCATGCTTTCTGACATAAGGGCATTTACAGGGACAGCAGCATCTGCAGGTGCCCCATGAAGCATGGATGACAAGGGGCATACAGAAAGACTCTGTGACCTCAGGATCTGCATTGGCAAGGCCCCCAAGTGCTGACATGAGGTCACTATGGATGACAAGGAATATACATCCTTTGTCCTTCCTATTGTCTTTCCAGACACTGAGCTCTGGGCAAAAATCAACCTCTCTTCATACACCTGACACTGACATAACAGGCACAAAATAGAAGAGTTACTATAGACAGCTCTTGACAGAAGGGTGTCAGCTTTCATCATTACAGGCTCAGATGCCTTTAAAGGAAAAATAACTACTCTTCAGTAAAGATGATTGACATATGTTGCATCTTTGTCAGATGGATGTCCATGCCACTTTTCATATTTTTTTAGACACACTGGATATGTAGCCTAGACTGGCCTGGAACTCTTTAACAACCCTCCTGGATCATTCTCCTGAGGACAGGAATTACAGGTATGTAATCAGTTATTAGTATCATGTAGTCATATTATCAATTTTTGCAATTTAGTCTTTAATTAAATAGCAACATTATCCAGGGTTTGTTTTAGCACTAGAATTGCTGTTTATTTAATTGGGCTGTCTATAATTCTCAGTCTTTATCCATTCACATGGATGACTTCCTATATGAACAACATCAAATTCAAAATAGGGCAAAAGACTGAGCACAGATTATTAGTGGAAGTCTGAGTAGTAAGGGTGGTAAGAGCTTAATGAAAAGGTGACAACAAGGTATGATTTCATGTGGGCTAATGTTTTGAGATGCACGGTCAGCATTTGATGCAGGGCAATTAGATGAGTAGCACGGTCCCCCTCTCTGATAAATTCCATTGAGAAGCTGATTCTTCAATCTAAGGATGGTCCCCACCCATGTGATTTTGAAAACAGATCTTGAAGGATGTTGTTATCTTCTTAAGGTTTTATGACAGAAGAGATTTTTTTTTCACACATAGTAGAGATAACAATGTTACCATTGGGGATGGACTTCTCATAGTGTAGTGGTGGTTTTTCTCCCCCTCAATATCTAGAAGATATGTTTTGAACTCCTCTTCAAACCATTTCCCTTCTGGCTAGCTCAGATGGAAGTTCCTCCTTTCTTTAGTTAAGAACCTTGTCATTGCTGGGGCCATGGCTCACACCTTTAATCCCAGCACTCAAGAGGGAGAGGCAGGCCGATCTCTTGAGTTTGAGGCCAGCCTGGTCCACAGAGTGAGTTCCAGGACAGCCAGGGTTACACAGAGAAACAAGGCAAAACAAAAAAAGAAGCTCGTCATCCTGGACTTTAGCCACCATGTCAAGGCTACACCTTCATCATTGCCACTCCCCAGTCTCAAGGTCTCGTCTTTCTAGACATTTAATATATTATGGACCCAGGCCCTACAGATTAGATCTACCACTGTGCCTCTAAAACTGTCATAGTGAACAGAGACACTAAAAAAGTCCCCTTACCACTGGGGATGTGTTCCAGTACCCTGGTACCTTCCTGCAACCACAGACACTACTGGAATATCAATCTACCTGATTATTTTTTTCCTATACATTAGTTTATAAAGAGGAGATTAACAGCTAATAATAAATTCAATTATGACAATGTTAATAATAAAAGTTATGTGAATGTGGTCTCTTGAAATATTGTATATGTGTATTTGGATTTTATGGTAACTAAGATGAGTAGACTACTATTTTAGAGTGTTGTTTGTACATGGATAGCCCTTCATAATCTGACTCTGATATTACTGGGGAACTTCTGTACTCGTTAAAAGATTTCTGTTTTCCGTTCCTGGTGCTCCTCTACTATCCCATAAAGGACATTTTTTTTTTTTTTTTTTTTTTTTTTTGTCAGCGTGCAACCTTTATTCCAGAGTCCATGCCTAACAAACCCTCTAAGGGTCACGTAGTGTCCTGTGAATGTTTAGGAGTAAACATACCCGTACCCAGAGAAATCTGTCTAGTAAGACTACGGAATACTGGTACCAGGAAAGGCTTATGTTCCCTTGAGAAAAACATGTCTTTCAGAAGAGACCTGGTTGATCTAACCATGACAAGTTACATTAACCCTCTGGGTCTCAATGTTTTCATGTGTAACACTGGGGTGACAGGTATATTCACGTTTGCTAAGAGGACTTGTTTACAATGTACCTGACACACAGCAGGCATTCTGTGAAGTAGAAATTGTTTTTCCTTATGGCTGCTTTCTATCTCAGCACAAAGCTGAGCCTCATATACAAACTCTAAATGTGAAAGGTGAAGTACTATAATGGTGTCAGTCATGAACAGGCTACAGAGACACTCTTCAGTTCACTGCATACCTCTTTACAAACAGAGATCTGTAACTATTGCAACCAACATGATTTTGTGTGAAATGCTTTCGAGATCTGATTGAGGGAATATTTAGCATTCTTTCTCATCACTGGTAGATCTGCAGCTAAGTTAATTCTAATGTTTGCAATGATAGCTTTTAGAACCCCGTAGTAAGGTGACAATGGTCAAAAAGGATAACTTCATATTGTGAAAGTCTTCTTTTAGCCACAAGCACTCTTACTCTCTAATTTTGACAGCTCCCTTGCCACTCTGAATCCATAGGCATCCTGTGGGTTATGGAGAAAATAGTTAATACTGCCCTTTATCTGTTTTTGGTATTGAGGCTTCATGTTTTCTATCATTAAATTACATCTCCAGCCTCCTTGCCTTGTTCGTTTTTTATTTATGTGTATGTGTATTTGCCTGCATGTACATATGTCTACTATGTTCATGGCAGGTGGCTGAGGAGGCAAGGAATGGGTATTGGCTCCCCTGGAACTGGAGCTATATAGATGGTTGTGAGCCTCGGTGGTGGTTTGAAAGAAAATGGCCCCCAAAAGGAGTGGCACTATTAGGAGGTGTGGCCTTGTTGAAGGAAGTGTGTCACTGCGGGGGTGGGCTTTGAGATTTCCTGTGCTCAGGATACCACCCAGTGTGTCAGTTGACTTTCTGTTGCCTGCAAAATGTAGCACGCTCAGCTCTGGCATCAGGTCTGCCTGCACGCTGCCATGCTCCCCATCATAATGATAATGGACTGAACCTCTCAAACTGTAAATGACCCCTTCAATTAAATGTTTTCTTTATAAGAGTGGTCATGGTGCCTCCTTACAACCCTAATTAAATAGCCTCCATGTGGGAACTGAACCCTTGTCCTTTGGAAGAGCAACACATGCTGTTAGCCACTAAATCATCTCTCCAGCCACTCTTTTTGAAAAAACACTATGTTAAAAAGTTTTGTGGATAATGTAGCCATATTTACCGATTTACTGCTGATTTGAAAACCTTGTGTAAAAATGTGGCACTCTATCTTAAAAAACATTTTATGAGTATAAATCTCTTTGGTTAGAAGAAAAAAACTAAAATAAATTGAGCCCTATTTCATAACGATTAGCGATTTTTAAAACATTAACATTTTTATGAATATATAATAATTATGCAAAATAAATAAATTTATGACATGTGAAGTACAGCAATGGTGCCAGTCACAAACAGACTACATGGGCCCTGCTCTGTTCCCTGCACATCACTCTACAAACAGAAATCTACAAATATTGCTACTAACTAGGTCCTGTGTAAAATCCTTCTTGAGATCTGATTGGGCAAAAATGGGTCTTTAATATGCTGCTTTATCACTGGTAGATCTGCACCTAAATCAGTTCCCATATTAGGTCACCCCTAGCAGTCCAAAAGAGTACATGCTTGTGCTCATATTTCTTGAGTAAAGAAGCTGAATATTCAACTCAAGGAGCAAGAAACCACAGAGACAAAAGATATCTCTGCCTTTCCAAGGAGCATCAAATACATTCTGATTTTAGGAATCCCAGTGAAATTGTGTGTCCTGAGGGGGACAAAGCTATCACTACCAGAAGAGTTAAAGTCTGATAAAACTGGGACAATGTCTTCCTGTCAAGAGGTTTTTATTTTATTTTTTTTTTTTGTGCCCAGAGAGATAGTTTGGCCATCAAGAACACTGGCTGCTCTTCCAAAGCACTGGCAAGAGAACCTAGTGGATCTGGGTTTAAGTTCCAGCATCTGTATGGTGGATTCCATCTGTTTGTAACTCCAGTCCCAGGAGGATCTGATGCCTTTTTCTGGCCTTCACAGGCACCAGGAATACATGTGGTACATAGACACACATTCAAGCAAAACACTCATATACTGAAAACAAATAAATACAAATTTTAAGAACTTTATTTATTCAAATGTGTATGATGTGTGTGCCATGGTGTGTGTGTGTGTGTGTGTGTGTGTGTGTGTGTGTGTGTGTGTGTGTGTGTGTGTAGGTCAGAGGAGAACCTTGCGGAGGTGGTTCTTTCCTTCCACCTTTATGTGGGTTCTAGGGATTGAATTCAAGTTGTCAGGCTTGAGTGGCCAGCACTTTACTTGCTGAGCTAACTCACTAGCCCTGTCACCTGTCACAAGGTTTTGATATTCTCATAGGATACTTGAGAAACAGAAATCTAGGTGTCATGAGAGTCAGGACAGATGGGTTCAACTTGGATACCCCCAAGAACATGGGTGAGTGGATTTAGGAAGGTAAATGGGCATCTCTCTTATAGCAGCCACATGACTCAGCCCAGTCTCCTTAGCATATTTATCAATGTCAATACAGACAATAGTCTCATTCACAGTCGCACGATGCACAACAGGGAACAATGTCTAACATGAAGACTCTAAAACATCTCAGAAAATACAAACTTGCACCTAAGCTTAAGAAAGAAAAACGCTGGGCAGTGGTGGCTCACGCCTTTAATCCCAGCACTCAGGAGGCAGACAGGTGGATCTCTGTGAGTTCGAGGCCAGCTTGGTCTACAGAGTGAGTTCCAGGACAGCCAGGACAAACACAGAGAAAACCTGTCTCAAAAAACAAAAACAAGCAAAGAGTAAAGACACTGAGGAAAAAGGTATGAGCCTTTAAAGTGGCAGATGGGAAACCTGACAATTAGTATATAATGAACAAAAACGTTAAGGAAACTGGGTGTGGTGGGGCACTCTTGTTATCCCAGTACTCCAGAGGTAAAGGCAATTGGATCCAGAGTTAGATGCCAGCTTGAACTACCCAGTAAGTTCCAAGGCTAGCATGAACTACAGAGTAAGAGCCTATGTCAAAAGAAGATAAAGACATGGAGAAGGAGGATGAGGGGGAGGAGAAGAATGAAGGTTTTGATTGCTGCACACAGTAATGATAGATTTATGAAAACACTGAAACCACTGTGGCGTTTGAATAAGAATGGCTCCCATAGGCTCATATATTTGAATACTTGGTCTTGGAGGTGTGGCCTTGTTAGAGGAAGTATGTCACTGGAGACAACATTTGTGGTTTAGGTTTCAAAAGACTCCTGCCATTTCCAGTGTGCTCTCCCTCTTGTGTCTTGTGGTTGCGGATCTAGATGTGAACTCTCAGTTGTTCCTTCAATCAGCCATCATAGGCTCTAACCCTCTAAAACTGAAAGCCAAATTAAACGCTTTCTTTCATAAACTGCCGTGGTCATGATGCTTTATCATAACAATAGAAAAGTAACCAAGACACTCTGTCTCTGTTGTGTGATGCATCTGGTCTGTTTGAAAAAACTCTGACCAGAGTTGAGCTTCCCTATCCAAGCTTCACAGTGGCAGAGTCTAAAGATGCTCTTGGCACAGTGTTCTCTGGTTGTCCTTGCTGTCTCCTCCCAGTACCATCATGTGCTAAAAGTATCAGGATGGAGCTGTACTGGGGAAACAAGCCTCCAGCTACACATACAAACATCAACGAAAAAAAAAACAACTTTTTTCTACTCTGTAAGACACGTCATGTATACCTTTCTAAGGTGGGCTTGTTTCATGAATATAGAAACCTAGCAAAGTATTAATAGGCATGATGGCTCACATCTGTAATCCCAGCACTTGGGAGATGCAGGTAAGAGAATTAGGAAGGAATCCAATTATCCTTGGCTACACAGATTTCAAGGGCAGATAATTTCTAAAATCAATAAATAAGTTAGTTAAAAATTTAAAAAGTAGCGGACTTTCATTAACTTCAGACTAATTCCTCTTTTAAGGATGTAAACGCGGAACACACTTTAAGAACTTGTGGCAAGTGGATGGGGAGATACCTCAGGTGGGTTCCGGCCCCAGCACCCACGTGGTGACTCACAAGGAACTGTAACTTCAGTTCCAGGGGATCTGATGTCTGCTCTTTTTCTGGCCTCTTGTCTGGCCTATGCAGACTTGAGGCAGGCAGCAGACGGCAGCACCCCCCCCCCCCCCCATTAACTTGAGTCACAATTTTATGAATGTAAAGGGTAGGGACTGAATGGAAGATAGGCCTCCTAAGCTGCGACAAAAAGAAGTGCCACCAGGATGCCATTTACTATGCCTGCTGGTGCCACAGAAGGGAATTTGCAAAGGAGTGGGAAGACCCTGGATAGATCAGGTCCAGGGTCCTTTCTGCTGAAAGGAGTTGCCTGGAGCATTAACCGCAGGGCCAGAGCTTTGGGGGTGTGCCCGCGCATGGCCCGGAGCCAGGGCCAGAACTGCATCCTGGCATACAGATGGCTCTTGGGGACAGCTTTTTCTAGAGTCCCGGCGCTGGAGCAAAGGTGCGGCCATACAGGACAGCGGGGACGCCAGGGTTTCGTCTTCACCTGTGAAGTCGCCCGCAGTCTGTTCCGCCCACCGGCTCAAAGGAGGAAGCGCTGGGCCGACTCCGCTCCCAGGTGGAAGGTGCTGGACTGCAAACTACTCTGATCGCGGTCGCCTCCAGGTCCCGCCTAGTCCGGTATGGACACTTCCGCCGTCTCACCTGTTGCACCCGGCCTCCACGGCGGCGCCTAACTCCCCCCCCCCCCACACCCCCACCGCAAGCCTCTCAGCGCCTCCAGAACTGGGCGGAGGAACCGTGGGATCTCATGTCGGACTGCGTCCAGTCGGGGCAGTTTTCCCTGGTCCCAGAGCGCGTGCCTCAACCACTATCGGTTGAGCGCCCAAGAGAAACCTCTTTGGACCTTTAGCGCAGTCAGTGCGGAACCCCCATATGCGCGCTCCCGCCAATGCCGGCTCCCGGGCGCGCGCCTGCCCCTCCCCCTCCCCTGCCCAGGCCGGAGAGGAGCGCGCCTGCTCCGCCCCCTCCCCGTGCCCCTCCCCGCGCCGTTTTCCGCGCTCCCTCCTGGCCTGGCCCGCGCTGCGCTTTCCAAGTTGCAAAGCAAGTTGAGTGGTGGCCGGCGGCGGCGGCGGCGGCGGCGGCGGTTGGTGGCAGCGGCGGTGGTGGTGGCGGTGGCCTGGACGCCTGGAGGCTCATTGGTGGTGGGCCAACTTGTGCTTCCCGGAGTGCATGGGCGTGGGCCCTAGCGGCTGGAGGGGCTGAGCGTCCCCGCATCATGGAGGGCGCCGAGCCCCGTGCGCGGCCCGAGCGCCTGGCCGAGGTTGAGGCGCGGGCGGCTGAAGGCGTCCGCCTGGTGGAGGTGCAGCTGAGCGGAGGCGCCCCTTGGGGCTTCACCCTGAAGGGCGGCCGCGAGCATGGCGAGCCTCTGGTCATCACTAAGGTAAGGCGACCTTGGGGTCTGCCCGGTGACAGTCCTGAGGTGGTCCCGAGCCAGAGGGCTTGTCGGAGTTTCGGGGCACTGGATGGGGCGTCCCGGTTAGCGGCCTCCCTTTCTGGGGCGCATCTGCCGGAGTCACCTGTGGATACTGGGTTCTGGTCAGCCGTAGGTGTGCGGTTCCGGCTCCATCCTGGCGGCCCTCGGGCGGCTGCCAACGTTGCTGGTAGTTTCAATGGCTCCTGTTCCGGGTCTTCTTCCCCTCCCCCCTCTGAGAAAGGGCCTGGTAGTCCCCTATACCTCCTGGCCTGTCCAGCTGGGGACCTACACCTGCGAAGCTGCCATGAGATGAAGGAAAAAAAAAACATTCCCAGGATCCAGGGACTGGACACAACCTTCCCCACTTGTGTTTGCTTATTTAGGGCTCCTGGTTGTCACCCTTTTGATCTGCACGGTTTTCAGTCTGAAACCTACACTAGAAGCTGCTGCCAGTCAGCTTCACGATTCCCGGGAGCTCATCAATATTTGCTAACTTTCGGCGTCCTCTCCTACATCCACGCGCTCTGCATACCTACCAACATTTATTGAAACTTTTCTGCGTGCTTATAAAATAGAATTGGAGTTCCGATAGTAAGAAAAGAGACCTTAGTCTCACTTGGAATTAGTGAACGCGTGTGAGTGCGTGCATGTGTGTGTGTGTGTGTGTGTGTGTGTGTGTGTGTGTGTGTGTGTGTGTGTAGGTTGCTTTAGAATTGGAATTCTCTTAAAACGCAATCCATCTTGATACTTACCAACTAAACGTGTATAAACCTGTATAAACAAACAAGACAATCTCTCAGGTCTTCTGGTTAAAAGAAAGTGGGGGCCTGTTCTAGGCAGAGTTGATTCTTACCAGTTCTAAGGGCGAAGTCTCCTTTAAAATGTAAATATTCCTGGCTCCTAGAGGTGTTTGGAGGTGTCAAGGTGACTTACAATTTTCCTTATCTTCCCACTCATGAAAGCATGAAGAAATTAGGTGACTCTTAATTCACCTCCACTGATCATGAATTTGGAAAGTGGAATGGTGTTATTCAAACAGCAAATACGACCTCAAATCAATTATTCCCCCCACCCCCGTTACAGATTTAGCTAACATGTAATCTTTTATATCAAACTGGATTTTTTTTGTTTGATTGCCATTCAGGGAAATCAAATTCAGGGCACTGCAAATGCTAAGCAAGTTCTGTACCACTGAGCTACATACAGAGTCCTAGTGTGTGCCCTCACCTCATTTTTTTTGTTGTTGTTGTTCTGGGATTGAACTCAGCATTGCCAGTGCTAGGTAAGTGCTCTTCTATCACTGGGCTATCCACAGCCCCGTTTTTATTTTTATTTTTGAGTCAAAGTCTTACTAAGTTTCGGCCTTCAACTTGCAGTCCCTCAGCCATCTAAGTGCTAGTACTACAGGAGTATACTACCACAGAAAATCTCATCTGTAACTTCAAAGAAAATTATTTTTATTTCATGTTCATTGGTATTTTTGCCTACATTTATGCCTGTGTGAGGGTGTTGGATCCCCTGGAACTGGAGTTACAGACAGTTGTGAGCTGCCATGTGGGTGGGTGGGTGCTAGGAATTGAATTTAGGACCTCTGGAAGAGCAGCCAATGCTCTTAACCACTGAGCCATGTCTCCAGACCTTCATCCGTGTCTTTAAATAAGGTTTTAGAGGTCATTTATTATGATATAGTTAAAAACATATCAAGTAAATCTCAGTCCTGTAACATTTAGTGTTTTTTGCTACTGTTGTTTTTTCTTCTTTTTTCCGCCTCTGAGACAGTCTTTTGATATGTTTATAGCTTGCAACTCTCAATCCTCCTACCTCAGCTTTCCAACTACTGGCATTTCAGGCATAATGACGCCACACCTGGCATATATTTCTTTTCTGCTTTTTTCTTCTTTTTTGATGTTTTTTGAGCTACAGTCCCTTGTATTTCAAGCATCTGGCCTCAAACTCTCTGTGTAGCTCAGAGATGACCTTGAGCTCCTAACCCTCCTGCCTCCACTTTCCTATTGCCCTACCACACCTGGCATGTACTTCTTTAAAACAACAAAATAGGATTCCACACATCTTTCTCACACTTGTTTGTATAGCAGATGAAATAAGCTATACATCGTTTAATATGCAGTTTTAGGATTTTTAAAACAATATTTTAAAATTTGTTTATTTCATTTCAGGTATTTTGCCTGAATGTATATATGTGCCCAACAAGTGCTCCTAACCACCGAGACATCTCTTTAGCCCCTAGCATTTGGTCTTTCACCATATAAGTAAGCTGGAGATTACTTTAAATAGAAAGATTGGCTAGAGAAATTTTTATCTGTCCCAGTTTTGCAAACTCTACATATTTGATGGCCTCGTGGCTCTGTCTGCTTTTTAGAAGTTGAAGTAGGTGCTGGTCAAACTCAGTCATACTAAGCTGTACTACTGAGCTATGTTCTCACCCCTGCATAATTTTTATATATGATTCAGTATGACTGAAAAATTATGGTTTCATTGCTTAGGATGGATGAGACTCAGAGCGACTTGGGGTTTTTGTATTTTCTTACTACATAGATATCCATGTGCTGTTGCTCCTATGTTTGTGTACACCCATGTACTTTCACCACATGTTCTATTGTATAGAATTAACAGTATTTCAATACTGTTATTTTAAATTAAGAACACACACACACACACACACAGAGTCAAAATAAGAACAACAAAAATATTATCAGTGGTGCTTGCTTAGAACATGACACCTGATAATAATTGCCACATTATTTAAAAATGATGGAGGGTTGGCTGGAGAGATGACTCAGGTTTGATTCCTAGCACCCACATGGGGCCTCACAACTTCTGCAACTTCAGTCCTAGGAGATCTGACACCTTCTCCTGGCCTCCACAGGCACTATCTGCACATGGTACGCAGACATACATTCAGACAAACATTCATACATGTGAAATAAAATAAATAAAAATCTCAAAAAAATGAAGGGAATGTGTCTGTTTACAGCCACTTACAAGGTAGAAATGGACTGTTCTGATAGATACTAGGGGAAATCGTTCTTCAACTGGAATTCACTTTAAACTTTTACTCTTCCAGGAGCTACTGAAATGTCATTGAAGCTTATTAAATATTTTTTCTAATAGTTCTTTTTCCATTTAAAAAATTATGCAATGTTTATATTTTGAATTATTGGTATACCACAAGGGTTTTCTGTTTAGTTTTTATGAATTATAATTATTCTATTTTTATATTTCTATTATATATATTATTAATTATAATTATGTTAATTAATATTTTTCTATTTAGCTAATACTGATTTGGGAGTAGCTTGACCCAATTTAAGAGGACACATTCTTTTGATAATAATGTGACTATCATTTGAAGATCTCATGTGAGCACATATCTTAGAACTGGGAGGTGCTGGAGATATAGATAGTTGGAGTGCTTGCTTTGCCTACACAAGATGCTGAGTATCATCTTCAACATCACAGGACAAAAGAAAACCAGAAGAGATGGCAACAATCAGGCCGATTCAGTCCTAGTCTTCAACTGGAGAGGTCTTATTCACCCATTTTGTGGATGTAACAGCTATGACCAAGTGAGGGTAAAATGATGTACTCTGAGGTCACAGACATGGCAAGTCCTAGGCAGTGCCTTGAAAGTAAGACTCTAATGGTGAATATCAGTCTTGCTTCCTGGCCAGTAGATACTGTCTACTTTTGACTGAATTCTCTTGCCATGTTATTTATATTGAGTAACTCAATGCCATCTGTAGGGTGAGTTTTTCCATTCTGTTGTGGGGTCTGTTCTGTTCACTATAGTCCATTTAGCTGCTTCCTTGGCTTCTACCCACTGAAGGTCATTGGCACCTGTCTCCAGGTATGACAATCTGAATGTCCCCAGACATTGCCAAATGCCCCCAGCCCAGTTATAAATCACTTTGTTAGGCTAATGGTGTGTCACCTTTGTTTTTTAAGGACTTTGGGCTTTTATTTTATTCTTTTTGAAAACAGTGGCCTTTAGTGTGGTGTGTTTGGAGGCCCTTGGCATTTTCAGTGTTTTCATGTAGGTCTGTTTTTCTTTTTGACATGAACTTTTGGCTCTGAGAAAATGCTTTATTTACATAGTAAAATGCAAACAAGTATTTGCTTCATCTGCATTTTTGCAGTTGGAGAAAGGAAATTGAGAGCAGAGACTCCCTAGTACGGTGCTTCATAGGCAATCAGAGCAGATGCCGGGGAAGGTCTGACTATTCTCTAGATCTGGTTTGAAGTTAAAGGACATTAACTTCCCAGAAGAGTAGCATTCATAGAATTTCAGATGCATGCCTGAAACTCTACAAGACTTCTGCTGAAAGATGACATTAGGAGTCATAAATAGTGAGTATATTTATAACAATTTGCAGCTTGAAATCTTGCTACCATTAACAAACAAAAAACAAATGTATACATGCACACACACACACACACACACACACACACACACACAAATGCCACATACAAAACTGAAAAGCATAGAAACACACTAAAGCCCATTTTCTCATGCTGATGTTGCAGAAAGAACAAAAACGACCTGCATGTTCTAAAAGGTCTCATGATTTGGTGATATTCTTTGAGAGTGTACATGGGTTTAGGAACTCTCAGGGCCCTGAAATATTACACTTTAGCTGAGTTGGATTTGCAGGTAGGTTGAGCCATTGTGGCCTGCTGTTTTTTTGTTTGTTTTGTTTTGTTTTATTTTGTTTTCTTCCCCCTTTGTGCTGTGTTCATTATGGAAACAGGGCTTTGCGAGTGCTCTACTACTGAGTGACATTCCTAGCCAAGTCTTGCTGGAGTTACTTGAGAATTTCAGTGGGGGAGGAAACCAAGCTCATTTCTATGATGTCACTCACTGGAGAGTTGCATCCACCAGCTGGGTATCAGGAGGCCCCCTGCAACCTCAGGAATGTTTATCAAGGGAGAAGGAATGGAGCCCTGGC